ATAAAAACCACGTATTTTTCTATCTCAAAATTATTTCCAATTTGACGAAAAATTGTATTCATACAGAAAAGGACTAATAATGGAGAACCCTTTGAGTCCTTTGCTGGCTGAAATCTTCATGGATAACATACAGTATGAAATCCACAATAATCAGTTAACTAAAACTTTCTTGTACTGTTGCAGACACGTAGATGATATCTTAGTCTGTTTTACTGGTACAGACAGGCAATTAGATAAGTTCGTTGAATATGTCAATTCCATCCACCAGTCGATAAAATTCACCACTGAAAAGGAGGTAAATAATTCAATAAATTAACTTCACTTAACCATTACGAAAAATAACAATAAACATGATTTTGCAATCTTCCAGAACCCATCTTACACGGACATTATCATACGCATTTACTCCACACACCCTTATCAGCATATATTTGCTGCATTCAATAGCAGCCGAGCAGCAAAGCCGATTAGTTTGTATGGTGAGTGGTCTTTCAGGTCAGATGGTGAGAGTACCTGAACCAGAACCTTCCAACGCCGCTTGACTGTCCGAGAATATTTTTATTAACTTGTGAGTGAGGTTGGATTTATCCAATCTCTTAGCACACAATTCAATAGCGTAAATTTCCGCTTGAAATACAGTCGCATAAGTTCCTAGGCAGGTAGATAACTCTGTCCTGGGTCTGCGACTAAAAACACCTGCACCAGAACCGGAGGGTGTTTTTGGTTCATCTGTGAACCAACAACTATCTGCTCCTAAAATTTCCTTCTCCCGGAAAGAGTACTTCAAACTGTAAATTTAAGTGTATAAAGAATTGAATATGTAGAATATAGTTAGTAAAGATACGCTCGAAGTAGCCTTTGTATGGCTACATTTGTTGCTTTTTTTAAAAACTATTTAGTGAAAATTTCACAATTAAATGTTTTTTGAATACGTTTTGAATACGTTAACTTGATAAATATACTGAATGAGGTGATCATATAAGACCTCGCACCTTTTTGAATACAAATGTATTCAAAAACATTGAAAAAATCTTCAAAACAGCATGGAATGAGTCTGGGATATTCGCCGCCCTACGTGTGACAACCCTCAATAGTAGAAACAGGGTGCGAGCTAAGAATATAACGAGGCCTTACCTTTTGACATGCAATCCCTGGCCAATTGAACTATTTTTTTTTCATTTTACTTTTCAATATATGTTTGTTACATTTCAAAATTGCATTCATAAATATTTCTATATTGCGGAGGAAATGATTTTATTCATGATTATTCCCTGTAAAATATATGAGTTGAATATTGATAAAAAATGTATTGAAGAAGCATTTACATCAAAACTCATAAGGCGACGTATAATGTACAAAAATTAATATATTCTTCTCTTCAATCATTTGAATTTCATTCAACATCATAATGAAATCTTTGAAACACTCCCTTTCGAACTCACCTTGTTTCTCTCTATCGACAAAAACTGCAGGATTTTGCCAACTCAATGATCTCATACCTGTGTCAAAAATTTCTCTCGAACAGTGCTTCAGAGGTGAATGAATCCGTTCTGTACTTTATCGCTGGGAAAGAAATATTACAGGTTGAGAAACTACATGGGGAATCACGCACTGGCTTCCATCGACGGACTGGCCCGATATGAACGTAAATTTATTGAACAATTGAATAAAGAAACCAAATTTGAAGTAATTCGTGGTATTCACAGCATTGGCGTTAAAAATTAGTAGATTACTCGAGGGTTTTCCAGTGGCACACATTCTATAGTTAAAGTGATATCCGCCAAGAATATCCAAAGGTGGACCAAATAAAAACAAATTCAGCCTGGGACGATTTTCTAATTTGTTTCTGAAGATGATGAAATGCAAGTAAGTGTACATTTGAAATCTATAATTTTGCGTTTATTTTAATAATATGGGAGCCCAAGCGGGGATTTCGGGATTTACTAAAGCGCAGCAGATTAATNCCCCACCGATGAAAAGGTATATATTATGTAACATTTTTTCTTCTTATCAACTAAGCTTTGCAACCTGATATGTCTCAATGACGCTCGAGTAAATCCCATTTTTGCATTGTGGGCTCCCCTGCTATAAGGAGAAAACATTCTCGAGAAGTCGATTCCACATAAATGCAGTTCTCCGAATGAAAGAGTTCTGAAACAGTGAAGTTTCAGGTGTACTGAGTTGAACCTCAAAACGATGAGCAGCCACCGCTTTTGGTGGAATTAAATGTACCTAGTCACTTGAACACCACCCGTGAAAGTATCTATAGAAAAACAAATGTTCAACCTTTCTTCGATGTTCCAGACTATCTAGGTTGAAAGTGGTGTTCGTGTCTCCAATCAGACGGGATGGAATCCGGCATCTGTTTTTCCGTTAATCAGCATGTTTAAAGGCGGAGCTCCGTACATGTGAGTAATACTCCAAAGAAGGCTTTTTCTGAGCTTTATAAGGCATCAATAGTTGCTGAGATATGAACAGTTTTCTGGTTTGGAACTGTGTTCCAAACTTTTGAAAAGCAGCCTTTTCAATTTCATCGACATGATTGTGCCAAGATATACTAGTCTCCATTTTAATCCCCAAAAACTTATCGAAGCAGAAAGCGAAATTGTCTGTCCGGTTCGAAGGCATTTATCTTTTTGGAGAAAACTCGATGCATGGGTGACATTGAATTGAACCTGGTTACTTTTACCCCAATTCAGATATGCAATCTCCTGATGCCGGTGAGGATGTGTATCTGCAGTCGATGTCCTGAAATCCAAATTTAATAACGAGACAAGTGTGCTGTTGTCAGCAAAGCAATATACATATCGGATTCTTGGTTTTCTCCAAAAAGTCATTGAATACAATAAAAAGAGGGTTGGAGACAATATGGATCCCTGGAGAACACCAGCGTTGATGGAGAAAGTATTCGAGAGATAGCCATCGACGGCCATTTGCAGGGAAAGTACTTTCAGAAAGCTGGATAGAAAACGACTGGTCTATAGTTATTTGGAAGATTCTTCTTGCCCTTATAATAAATAAAGTGAACGCTAGGTATCTTTCTTGTATACCTATAAGACAGGTGAAAAGGTCTCCAAAATACTGGCGCAAGTTCATTTGCGCACTTTTTAAGTACGATAATGTGCACTTCATCAGGACCAGAGACCTTGAGCTGTTTCAAAATTCGCCTGACTAGACGTTGTCGAAAAGTAATTTCCTGCATTGTGAATTCTAGTGTGAGAATAGTGGGTGGTGCCTTTCCCAGAAAATCGACTGTGGAGTGGAACGCAAATTGTTCAGCTAGTAGATTTGCTTTATCTATGGCTGTTGTTGCAAATGAATGCTTGTGTTAATGATGGAATTGTAAATTTTATAAAGTTTTGATTAACAGTTTTAGCTACAAGACCAGAAGGATCAAGACCCGTTAGAATTAGCAAGCAGTTTATCCATAATTCTCTGATTGTGAAGTAATTTGCTTTCACCTAGTTCGGTTTTCGATACTGGGATTTTTGCGCTATTGCCGGTAGACGAGATTTTTGGAGGCGACAGCTTTCCCGCTATTTTTGTTGAATCGAAGTTTGCCGCTTGAAGGTCGTTTCATTGAAAAAGGAATATATGCATTCATGGATGATAGAATGAACTTCCGTGACTTCAAAAGTACAAGTTGATGGTTCATACATATAAAAAATCTATACAGAATCTAAAGTGCCCTGAATAATTTCAAAAATATCCATATAATGAGAATGTAAGCGAAATAACTTATTTGCGATTGTACGAGTATTTCGTCTTACAAAATCTGTAATCTCAGAAAAATATTGACATAAAACCTAATCAGTCATCAGCTCTTATTTGAAGGTGAAAGTCATCAGCTTATTCATCAACATCAAATGTTTTGGTGGTGGAAAATAATATTGATTTTTTTGGGAAACTAAGGGTTTTGGCTTTCAACTCAATAATAATAAATTGTTTATTGTTTGTTGTAAACGAAATATACATGATAATCAAAGGCAATGACAAACAAAAGAATAAGTGTTAGGTCTGTTGACCAATTCTCACACACTTTCCTTGCAAGGCAAAAAAAAGAAGAGTGGAAAGTAAATAAAAAAAATCACAAGAAAAGATCAAAATGATTCAGTATCGAACGCCGTCGAAAATAAAGAACATTTTTATAAGCGACTGTTACAGCTGTGAAAGTAATACTTTTCTCTGATTTGTTTTGAAATACATGAAAGACAAAGCAAATTTGGTATAGTGGAAAAGTTTCGCTACGGATCTGCTCTTCCACTCGACTCAAAAATCTGGGAAGAATTTCAAACATCAAGTGCAATAAATTTTCAGAAAATATTCAGAGGGTGCTATGATCTTTATAAATGTGGAAACATCGCAGATGATTTTGTCTCACTAGATTTTTTTTGAAAAATGTTAACGAAACCTTCATTTATTTTTTTAGCGAACACCTACATACTATGGTTACAGGAAGATCGAGATTTACCTAATTTTTTCTGACCAAGTTTTCCAATTTTTGACATGAAACACATTTCGATGTTTTCCCACAATGGGAAATATATAAAAATATATAATGTGTTTTCTTTTAAAAAGATCTGAAAAAACTAATGTCATTATCTATTATCATTTAGTGGTTGAGATTTGAAGAATTTCAAATGTGGACTGTGCTTTCTTACGCATTTAGTGATTATTTTCTGAGAAGATTCGCTTCGATAACAGCAGCGCATGCAAAAAATACTGAAATTTAATAAAATTATGTAGCCATTTCTATACAGAAACATATTTGAAAATATCTAATCAGATGACCAATTGAAAAGGGGACTCTAAATCATCGCCCAGTACACTGGACCTTAAACTAATATTTTCAATAATAGATGTTAGTTTCACGCTATAGTAAACCAACATGGATATAACGAAACACAAATGATAGTCTCAAAGGCCAGTCCACTCCTGCCCCAACCAAAAATCCGATTCCCCAGGATGCTAAAAACTTTCATTACATAATTCGCAATCCTATTCAAGCTGGCTTCTTTAATAGGCATGCTCATGCTCATTGTTTACAGTAATGATTTCATTCATCAAAATCGTATCCTTATCAATAACAGAATCAATTATAATTACGCGAGTGTCGATCCTTCATCACCACTCGTAGATGAGACGCGGACCAGTAGAGATACAAGGTGGGGGTGCATGGTGGCTCTGAATTTTTGTGTTTTCCGAAAGTGACTTAAGTTCAAAATGACTGCAATGCAGGGTAGTCCTAACGGACAAAGTAAAAGTTTCGAGGAGGCTGTGTCTTTGACTGGTGAGTACTCGTATAAATATATCAAAATCCTAAGCAGAATGCTGAAGTAAACTAGCAGAAATCTTTCGATATAATTGGTTTTGCATAGTTTTTATCACTCTAATTTCTTACTATATACAGGGCTATTTGTTGAATTTCCTATTGAAATAATTTAAAAAACATCAATATTCTCAACAGATACAGATATCTCAGTACCCAGGAGAATTCTTTCTTGAAATATTGATCGAAATTTATTTTTTATCGGGGAAAATCAAACCTTTCTGTGAATTTTCTCCTTTCACAATCTGAGAAAAATTGAAATTACAATGGAGAGCAAGTGTAGAACGGCAAACATTCCAAAACGCTTCTGATTTCCGTCAAAGAGGTTTGAAAAATTAAGCGAATCGAAGAGAATACTGTATAGTATATTAGATATTTTCAATTCTAAAGTTGGGAGCAGATTTTAGCCTCCGAAACGTTTGGATAAGTATTTGTCTCATTCCTTAGCTCTTTTTTTTGATAGGCAAAATCATCAAATACGACATGATGAATATAACATTGTTCTTTGTGAAAATTACTCTGATTTACGATATCATATGTTAATAACTGTCATTGTTTAATGTGAAAACAGACTTAGCTAAATATCAATTGAAAAAAAAATTTATCAACAATTTTTAGATATTTCATTTTGCAATAGTTNTTCATAAATGGATGAATCTGAAAAGTAAACACTCAATAATCCATATCCTCAAAAGCTTCTTTCATGATATAACAGGAGATTAAACTTCTGATATTTTTTTAAAATTTTTGTTTCTGTTGATGTCCGAACTGGTATTATTGATGATAACTGGTTCCTTGTTTTTACCTGCTCGTCTAGACAGTCACACGTATCTTCAATTTTTACAGCAAGAATTTCCGCTTTTGCCTGAAGAGATTCCATGAATTTTAAGAAATCATATATGATTGAATCATGACGGTGCACCAGCCCACTTCAGTCTTATAGTTCGGGAATATCTATATTATATGGTGACCACCTAGTTTACCAGACCTAATTGATATATAATTATGAATACACTCACGCGGTACGTGATGACAATGAATAACATTATCCATGATAATGATTATGTATACAACTTCCACAATAAAGCCACGTTTCGCTACATGGTAGTTTCCTCAGATGGACTGGTAACGCCAACTGATAAAGCTACCGTTCATAATTAAACGTTATGAGAGTTATTGAGCATACTTGGTTTTGGATGTTGTTTATGATATAACTATCAAGCCGCTAGATTTCATTGCACACAATATTAGACAACTTCAAACTGTTCAAATTACGACGAACAAAAAATCAAGAGACTAAGTACCAGTGGAAAAAAAGTTTTCCTAAACTTTGAATACAGACTTGAACGTCAAGTCAATACACAAGTTCCACGGTACGTATTAGGTTCAGAGAAAAACTATCAGTACAGACAAAACACCCTACGTCATAAATCAAACAATACCTGAAGTAAATAGAAATATATAGAAGTACCAGCTGACCCTGCAAACGTTGTTCTGCTACATAAATTATTTCTAGGGAATTTCTAAGGTAGAAAATAACAACTAACTCGTTATAAGTGTGTATCGGAACAATAAAACAAATAATATAATTCCCTGATGCTACAATGTGTACAATATTTTCCCTTAGTCCATATTTAATTAACACAAACAAACTGGATGATTTGCCCACTCGAGAGCGTGCCACGTGTAATTGTCCGTGTGAAAAACATGATGTGCTCATGTGCTCATATCCAAGCCACAAACGGACATTGTTTGGCCTTGAGACTTATTATAATAATCATTGCAAATGCCAATCTACTTGGAAATTGCACACGTTTAAAATGAAATGGCACGTCTGTAGGCATAATTGGGTTTCGTGGTATTAATATATTCTCACCTCGGAACTTGCCATACAGAAGGCCGGATTCGACGTTTTCTGTCGATTTTCCAATGACTAATCGTGTGCCGTCGCACAGCCGTGGTGGCTGGTGGGTGTCAAATAACGGAGCAAACCAACCTTCAGATGTAAATTATGAGGTGACCTAATTAGGAGTAGTCCTTGTGATCACAAAATCTGAGACTGAGAGTTTAAACCGCCGTTTTTCTCATTTTTGATTGCTCCCTTACGATCATAAGCCCATATGGTATAGTCCTTCTAGAACATGAGGCTAATAACTGCAGAAGCTGATGTTGTTGATGTTGAAAAATCAGTTTTGACACAATTTTTCATTCACTGACTTTCGAAAGTATCTGAAAGTCTAATGTCATATACCATATAATGTCGATTCTGTAAGGTGAGTTAAGCGACTCGACTCTTCTGGTTTACGAAATCGGATATGTGCTGCGTGTTCTTGAAAACGTGTTTCAAGAGCTGCCTTACTCTGACTGATATATTTCTGCCGCGGTCCATACAGCTCATTTCATATATCCCCCTTCATATTGCCAGCTTTCTATCTATAGGGTAGCCAAATATTTGTTGAAGTGAACAAGCAGTCTTGAATGCTACTATTACATTCAAAATGCTTTCTAATCCGTTGTACTACCATTTTGTACTTTCAGATATAATCTCGGCATGAAATATCGGGACTAAAGTTTTATGACGATAGGTTTGTTATATTACCCTCAAGTAAAGAATGATATAGCTGAAATTGAAGACATCAATACAGGAAGGTACGAACTAATTATTTTTTTTTTGCAGGCTTCGGAAAATTCAACCTGTACGTTATACTGGCAACCGGAGGATGTCTCATGTGCGTGATAATTGAAACGTTGAACTCCATGTTCATAGCCCCGGCCGCTAAATGTGATCTGAATCTCAGCCTAGGAGACAAAGGACTCCTCTACTCTATTAGCTTCCTGGGTGTGGTATCGGGTTCGCATCTCTGGGGCTATCTGGCAGACACCAGGGGTAGAAAATTCGTAACTTTGTTTTCTTTACTTTCCAGTGCTGTGTTCAGTTTCATAGGTAGTCTCATATCGCTCACCTGGCTGTTTATGGTGCTGAGATTCGTTAATGGATTTTTGTAAGTATTCGGAATTTTATATACAGGGCGGCCCTATCAGAATCACCCACATATATGTTTTTGTATTTTATCGACCTTTTTTGGGTATTTGTTACCTTCCACGATCTGAAAAATATAAAAATTATAATGGAGAACTTTATACAAGTGATGAAGGGCAAACTTTTTAGTTTACCCCGATAAGTTACTGCGTAACTGCGTAATAACTGCGTAATTATAATTTTCATATTTATCAGATTGTGGAAGGAAACAAATACCCAAAAAAGGTCGATAAAAAACTGATTTTTCCTCCACAAAAAATGACTTTCGTTGAATATGTAGTTATGAATATGTATTTATGAATTTTTCATCATTCCTTTGTAACTCTACGGTCATGCCGTATTGTTTCGTAAATTTAATTTGACAGCTGCTGTCACCAGACGCGGATTTCTCCACATCAAATTCTGGGTGTTGAGAGGTTACTATGCTAAGTTTTGAAATAAAAACTGGCTTTTAATCTAAAAACTACTATATTCAACGAAAAAGAAAATTATACAACCAAAACAGAAACCCATAAAAATAATAAGCAAATCTCGAAAAACTCAAATTTCGTGCCTTTGCCTTAATTCCCTCTGTACACAAGAGTGACTGTACCCAGCAAATATCGGAATAAAATTCACTTCAATTGTAACACTATTATACTCGGTTTCGTAGTACGAACTGAACTGCTCGATTACCACTCAAATTTTATACACTATTTGATCCCCTTACAAAAGAAAATAGTTAAGCCCGGTTTCCATATTAAACTCCCTTGTTCAGAGCACTTGACGCCGCTTTTCGACGAAATTTCCGCTTGGTTCCCCCGCGACGACTGTCCTCAAAAATTTACAAAAAAATCGCGGTTACCCTGTCAAAATTTTTTGTAATCTTCTTCGATCAATCGCGAGAGGTTATTTTTCTCTGAGTCGATCTCGGTTTACCAGACTTATGATCAATTCTATGGCTCCGCCTTAGTTAAGATGGTCGCCAATTTTCTGTCGTTCTGATCAATCGGGCCCAGACACGATGCGGTTCAACGGAAAACCATATTTGGCTCAGCTAAGAGGCCTTTAGAGGTCTGAAATCGAATATTTTCGTTTATCCTTTGTCGGCACAATAATTTGGTTATTTATTTGACTAAGCGGTCTATTGACGCACCACAGGTGGTTTTTGTAAACATTTCTCGACTGGTCGTTCGATAATCGATAATTTTTATTCAGCGTGGTGTTTCTTCGACGTTATTAACTTTTATGAGACGCGAAGCTTGGCGTTTGAATTTATGAATCAAAATTAATCTTCTACTACATCTTTGAGAATTTTCGGCCGAATTTGCTTAACGATTTTTCAACTTTTTTTCGTCGCAGTAAAATAAAACTACTACTAAAGGATGATTGTAGGAATTTTGCACCTTGAACATACAAAAACTACAAAATCGAGCAATAAACTGGAATCTCTTTAGAATACCATAATGGCTGCCGTAGGTAGATGATATTCCAGAAGATCCAGATGTGCACATTCTGGCTTGGATGGCTACAGGTCATCTGAAAGGCTCCAAAGAACGTCTTCTGGCTGTCGGTGCAGTTAGTACTATTCAGTCATTAGAGGTCATCTCCCTGTGTTGCTGACGAAGGAAGTCGTAAACTGACCGCCAATAAGGTCATCACTAGATTGAGGAAAATATAGCAGGGGTTTGGAGTGCATTACTACTAAACGATGAATTATATCTCACTACATGTTTATCCTCGAAAATTACTGATAAAGATATTTTCAAATATTTTTAAATGGAATTTTTGATTATATTGATAAAGATATTTTTCAGTGATTAAACCCGATACTGTTATCTATTGCAAAGTACGTATTCGTATCATAATAAGGATGTGGAATGTTACAATGATTTGTTGTGGAATTGGCTGCGGTGGTAGTGCGTCCGACTCACGATCGGAAGGTCGTGAGTTCGATTCCCGCTTCGACCAGATATTTTTCTCGAGAGAATTTATCTGGTTGAAGCTGGAATGATTCTGCAACCGTGTTAGGAATCACACGTTAAAAAGTAAGACCTCGTTAGTCCTTAGCTCGCACAAGTTTCTCAACTTCTGAGAGTTTTCGTTCGTATGAGGGCGGCAGCTGATTAACGGAAAAACAGATTTTATACAGATTTTAAACATTACTGTCGGAAATTTCAAAAGAATTCTGATCGATAACGCGAGTTAATTGGTTTTGCTGTAAATTTTGTGAAACGGAATGTACTGCCTCCATAGAATAATTAAATAGAATATAATATTTTTGTTATTTTTTCCATGGGTGGGTGACACTCTATAGTAAGGACCGCAAGTTTTTCTCTTTCAGAATTTCCAAATAAAATAGTTCACGAATTATTACCAAATATTTTGGCTAATCAGTTCAACTAAGTGTTGTACAGTGCATTTCTTCAATGTCCCCCCTTTTATTTTTTGAACGGTTCAACTCAAAAAATTAAAATTTGGGATAATGAAATTAAGGCATTGATATTTTATTTTGAAGTGACAGATGAAACTTTCAAGATGGCGACTAGGCGCCTAGGCGCCTAGAATATAATGTCAATATCTTCAACCACTACAAAATGGCGGAACTTTATATAATTGCCTTTTTTTAATTTTGACGATATATTTGAATAGATTCAATAATCAATAATACAACTCTCACATTGTTTGAACTCAACAACTAATAAATAATAATTGCACAAAAAAACTTTCCCTCAGTTATCTCAAAAGTGCGATTTTGTTCCATCCTTTTCATAAAAGAGGACGTATGCTTATTTCGTATCCTTGCATTTCGAACACATCGGTTTTTCATTTCCTTCCAAAGTTTCTTCGTTTGTAAACGAATCCAAGCATTGCCACAAACTCAATTGCCTGAATACATTGACATTCAACTACATAATATGAGGTAATAAGCTTGCGGTCAGTTCAGAAGATGGTCGAAATAGTTGCCTTGAACGTCTTGACATATGAACAGCCTATCCGATATTTCACGCCGAACGTCAGTATCTCTACAAATATTTATTATTGTCTGCTTCAAATAGCCCCATAAAAAAGTCCAAAAGTGTCAAATCTGGTGAGCGGGCCGGCTATTCTGTAGGACCTCGACGGCCAATCCAACGACCTGGAAAAGTGGTATTCAAATAGTTTCTTACTTGTCTGGAGTAATGTGGTGGTGCTCCATCTTGTTGGAATATAATATCCATATCGAATTCATTAGGATTCGCTTCGACGATTTCAGTGATGAGAGGGTCAACAATAATTTCCAGCATATTCAAATACAGTTCCCCTGTTAAATTTTGATCAATAAATTGAGGTCCAACAATATGGTTTCCTCATATTTCTGCCCAAACTTTAATTTTTTCTGGATATTGGGATTGTGTTTCCTGGAAAACGTGAGGGTTGGTATCACTCCAAGAACGGCAATTTTGTCTGTGAACATTGCCGTTTAAAAAAATGTGCATTCGTTACTTAAACAAATATTCCGGAGATAGGTAGGATGCCTTGCAATGGTTTCCGTCATGATTTCGCAGAATTCTGTTCTTCGATCAGGGTCATCTTCAGTTAATTGGTGTACCACTTTAATTTTGTATGGATACCTATTCCTCTTTAAAAGTCCCCACACAGTAAAAGGAGACACCTCACAAACATTTGCGAAGGAATAAGTAGACTGTTCAGGATTTACTACCATCTCACCAATTATTTGCACTTCCTGTTTTTCCGGAATGAACAGCTGACTTGAGAGCTTTTTATTATGTAGGTACACTACCGGTAGTTGTGAATTCGGAAACACGTTCCCTCAAATATTTTCTCAGATAGGACGATTCGGAAAACCTAATCGGGCTGTTGGAATTGCCATATGGCAGATAAAAAGGAATATTTCTAGAAATATCGATATTAATGTGTTTGTCTTCAGGAAATTATTGAATGTTTTGTCATTTTGTAGTAGGTGAAGCTATTGACTTCATATTCTAGGGTTGTGAAGTATTCATCAGGAGCTTCAAAATGAAGTATCACAAGACCCACTTTTCCATTTCATTTTTCACTTCAAAATAAAGTATTCATGCATTCATTTCATCATCCCAAATTTCAATTTTTTTTAATTGACCCGTTCAAAAAATAAAAGGGGGGACATTAAAGAAATGCACCGTATGTCTATAAACACTGTCTCTCGACGTGGATCTTACACTTTTGATCACCCACTACAATCGCCTGCTATAGCACATAGATTATTTTCTGTGTGACAATCCTAAAATGATTGTTTGAAAACAAAGCAGCGAGATTTGGCAAAACTGAGGATGAATAAATTTTTGCAGCAGACAAAGTAGCAATGGTTAGGGAATCGAAAACCCTTTTCATACAACAATGTTTCCATTTAAAAATGGAAAACGTTAACTTTACTATGGTTTATGTGTGAAAATTTCTTCTCCTCAAGTGTTCGTTGAGTTTTTTATCTGATAATTGAGGGTCTTTAATGACCCACTCTGTATAACTCGGACACAACTCTTAAAGAATGAAATAATTTTGTTCCATTTCATAATTGATTAATAAATGGAAATGAGTAAAATTGAACATTCTATCGGAATTGAATAAAAACTGATTTCAGTGATCCAGTTGAATAAATAGCCAAATTTTTTGGTAGCTGATTGCACAATTGAAGAAGTTTCAATGTTACACTTGGCCTGAGATAACTGATAACCTTCCAATTTTAAAAAGTTTTAATACGTAAATAAAAATGATGTATGTCTTGATTTTCCGTGATGTTATTTGATCTATAATCTTCCACTATCTGAGAAATGAACAAAAAAGAATAATAGATAATATGCTTAAGTGTCATGAAGGACAAACTGATAAGTTCACACCTAAATAAAAATTACTTTGGAGAGTCAGTAACTTGAATTTATGAATTTTGCCTATAAATAACCTTAATGATTATGAAATCTTAAATCCATTACCTTCGTGATAGCTAAAATTTATAAATATTACAAGTTACTAAGTGGACTTTTATATTACGCAGTCATTTTTCGGCCATTTTTACACTCCAGCCAAATCTCTACTGATTGTTTTGTTCATTTTTAGATTTTGGATGGTTAGAGACCCAATAAACAGAAATATTAGCTCCTTCACAAAAAATAATGTATTTGAAAGAATATGATACTACTTCCTTTCTTAACGAAACATAATGTAATCAACAAATGTCAAAATGGATTTTGCCTCGATAGATCGACGGAAAGTGCGGATACAACTGTCTTGGAAAATATTTATGAGGGTGTGAACTCGAATACATAAGACTTGGAAGTTGGAGTTCCACAAGGTTCAGTCCTGGGACCATTACTGTTTTTGTTATAGATAAATGCTTTGCCACAACATATCGGCACTACATCGATAGCTATTTTTGTAGATGACACTTCTATTTCTGTTAAGCCAACAGTCCTTTGAAACTCCAGGACAATCTGAATGTAATGAGTCAAAATTTCTCATAGTGGTGTCAAAGTAGGTAAAAGACTTATGGTCAATGCAGAAAAAAATAGTATCGCTACAGTTTTTTCAAAGAAAATATGTGGAATATCCTAGACACATTCTTATAAATAACATCAGAATCCACAATGCGACTACGCATTGAACTGGCAATGTTAAGTCGACTATGTGAGGAAAAGACTCAATAGCAGTTTCTATGCCTTAATACAACTGAAAAAAAATACAGAGTGAAGAACACCTCTTAGATGTTTACTATGCTCTTGTGAATTCTGTTCTATCTTACCTAGGTGAAACTGACTAATAAACTTTGAACTAATTTGAAAAAACTTTCTTTAGAAGCTCATACCAAGCTCGAGATAATAGACTATAACACTTGGAACAGATATTCAACTTGGTTTTATTGCAAAGATGAAAAATGTTATGAATAAAATAATAAAATAAATTATATTATATAAGCGTTTCAGCACCAAAGAATTGTAAATCAAAATTACCCTGTAAATAAAGCATTGAGACCCCAAGCTATTTTAGCAGTATATTTTCAATTTTGAAACTGCCCGATTTGTCAATTCAATTCAAGTCTTCGGCCTCAAGGGCTTATTGTATTTTTCTCTTTGCATGACACATCTTCAAACATTTGTGGTACCTGCAATAGTTTCCTGTATTGGATGTGTCTCATATTTTTTCACAAGGACAAAACGCAAGCACCACAGGAAAAACCTTGAGGTGCTCTAAGAGCGGTGCCTTTGTTAAAGTAGCGATTCACATTGGATTTGAATCGCTGGAGATTAAATACATTTAGAAAAACGTCATCAGGAAGTTTATTCCAAATAAACGAAGTTCCCCAAATGGGGGATATCTTAAACAATGAAGTTCGAGGTATACTGAGTTGAACCTCAAAACAGCGAGCAGCCACAGTCCATCGCGTATTTCTGATATGTACTGTTCTTGGTGCGATCAAATGTGCCAAGTCACTTGAACACTTCCCGTGAAAGTATATATAGAAGAGAGGCTTTAACATCTTGAGGGATCATCAATATGACTTTAGGAAACCAAAATCAAGAGGTGACCTTCTATCGTATGTCACCCATATTTGGAATAACGCAATCAAGAAATATGGAGAGTCAAGGACTGTTTTTTTGCCACCAATTAAGACGTTGTTCGGTAGGAGCCAAGTGCTTCCAACGCCGCTTGACTGTCCGAGAATATTTTTATCGACTTGTGTATGAGGTTGGATTCTTCCAATTTCTCCGCATACAATTCACTAGAGTGAATTTCCGCTTGAAATACAGTCGCATAGGTTCCTAGGCAGGTTGATATCTCTGTCACCTGCACCAGAACCTAAAGGTGTTTTTGATCCATCTGTGAACCAAAAACTGCTCCTTATATTTCCTTCTCCTGGAGGATCTAGTCCTCTCTACTCGGGAACAGTACCCCCTGAAAGGGGATTAGTATAGCGACACCAAATTTAGGCGGTCAATAAGACCCAAGAAAGATATTGCCGCGTACCAGTGATGTAGTTCTTGCTGGGGTAAACTAGCAATGTCTGTTGGGTAATCGCTTTTCATACTGTCTACCGCAACCGTAGATGGAACGTCAGACTTAAAATAGCCCCTAACACACTCAAATCCATCAAACTTTACAGTCTTCGATGAGCGTGTATATGGGACGGTAACCTGGTGGATTAACGTGGGTGGTTTGCTCCACTCACTCAATCGACCGCTGTGTGAACCGGTGGTTTGAACCGCAAGGCCGGGTCCAATCCGTGTTAGGAATCACACGTTAAAAGGTAAGACCCCTTTAGTCCAGTTTTGAAATTATAGTCCAAGTATATGACAGTGATACCTTTTCGGATTAGATTAATAACATAATGGAACGGTATTTATAATAATAATATTAAAAACAATAAGTTCCCAGTAGTCAATATACTTAAAGAATTTATTTTTTCAACAAATTCAATATTGTTCAATACTAGTAGTTGATAATATTGATACATTTTTTAAGAAATGAGGACTTTGTCGTGCTAGTCAATTGGGTAAGAACAAGATGAAATTGTTAGGAGATACTTGTTCTTGTTGAATAACTATGAATCCGTGATATATATACAGAATTTTTCAAGGTTGGTTGAGAATTTGTTTCCAGAATTTAGAAATAAAGATCAATGCCATCTCATGCAGTAGAAAATATACGGAAACAGGCCCTAAAACACTTTCCTGGCGTACCCCGATAACAATCTTTCAAAATGATTAAGGATCCATTAAATTTGCTTTCTTTAAGATAGATACTCAATCACCCACAGCAATACAATTACAATACCTTGCAATTCATTCTGTAATACAGGGTGTCCCTGGACGACCTCTTTTCCTCTAGGGAATGTATAGATGGGGTCAAAATATCACCAGTACTTCATATAACTTTTTTTCCTAAAAGTCTTCGTAACCAAGTTACGGGCCCTCGAAGTTACAAAATGAAAAATGTTTTTCTTTGATAACTTTTCAAGTGAATATTCAAAATCATCCAAATTTTGGTAATTGACT